ACAAAATTTTTGTGTATATCCTTTGCAATTCTGATTTATACCTTTGGTCATAAAGACCGTATATTATTGGATTAGCCATGTGGTTGATAAAGAACGACCAGCGGAAAATATTGTACATCACTTTGCCTGTATAAGACATGTCCGAAACAAAAGATTTGTTCAGAAACACACATATTCTAAGAATAAGATGCGGCAAAAAGCTTATACAAAATACTGCGGTTATAAGAAAAAGGACAAGAGTTACTGTGTTGGTCTTCTTTATACCGGATTTTTTGTGCGAAGTTTTAGCTTTAGCTCTAGCATGATGTCTATCTTTCTCGTCATCAGTTCCCGTAATGTTGTTATTCTTCCGTGTATTTTCTTGTACTGAACTATTCCTTTCCTTTACTGCACTATTATCTACTTGTACTGAACTATTCCCTTCTTGTATTGAACTATTCCATTCTTGCACTGAACTATTCCCTTCTGATTCAAACGGTCCTTCGTTGCCTTCTAGCGACCTCATTTTTGTACTATTTGTTTCCAGCTCATTCTTACTTGCCGTCAACGATGATGGCGTAACACTCTCTTTAAAATTCCTCCTGCGTACAATCTGTCGCCAAATCAAGGAATATATTATACTAAGGACAACTGCACTGACTATGAACACAAACAACAATCCAAACTTTAAAATGGATGGATACGGTGTGTGCCAGTATTCATCAGACACGTCACATTCAGACCCTGTTATGTTCTCCCTGCCTGTTCCCACCGATTTGTTTCCATATAGGACCAAGGTTGGCCATGAAAGTGCAAAAGAAGCAATTAATCCTATGACGCATGAAATCTTTGCCTTGTCTTCTAGAATCTGAGTTCCATGGGGAACACACACTTTTCTGTATCTCTCAATGGCAATAATAAGGAGAATAGTTGCCGATCCAATTGTGATGAAATAAGTCGTTAGTTTCATTATCTTGCACACGGAGCCATTTTGAAACATGAGCGGGTACCGCTGCATATATAGCACAAACGGCATAGTAATGCAACACGCCAGAACGTCAATGAGTGCCAAGCATAACACAAATGTCCTATAGGACGAAGATTTGTACCTGAAGAAATAAATATACATAGAATGGCTGTTCCCAATGAACCCTGTTAACATTAATATTCCAACGAATACGGCTCCTCCTATATTTTCCATTGCCACTTCGTCGTTTAGAGCGCTCAAACTTGCGTTTTCTTCCTTTTCTGAGTTCATTTTTATATGGCTGTTTAAAGCTATGTCTACGGAAGAGACTTCCGGTTTGTTGCCCTGCTTGTGTAATCCATGCAGGTAATTTTGTAACTAACTTTAATACGCTCTATAAAAAGGCGGTTTCTCAGTCACTCTAATATTCCTATTTTGTTACTCATTGATAAGAAGTTGACTGGTTACATGTTCACATTGCAGGTGTAAGGGTTTTTATTATTCTGTATGGTCTAATGTATTTCGGATTTATACTTGTCGGTTAATGATATTCGGTATATCTCTGTTTTGATCGGTAGGTCATATGGTTTTCTGTGTATCAGTTTCATATTTGCTGCATGACATTTTGAATTAATTTATCTTACAGTTAAGTCACATGATATTTGAAATCTGTCTGCTTTTTATGAAAAACTGAACGTAAAGCTCTGGATATCCTATTTGTTATTGTTGTCATATTTGGAACATCAAGGTTTTATAATAAAGTTGTATAATATTTAGAATACATCCATTTTCCTTTTATAGTATAGTTCATATTTATGACGTCATATCAGCATTTAGACAACTTTATTAATTTAAAGTTATTTTGAAGCAAAGTAAACGGCCACCCAGTTTTAAGTAAGAAATAGATATCGCTTTTACAGAGTAAAAAACTTTGTAAAATAATATACACCCTCTAATTAATTATTTTCTTATCACTTGTTGAAAAAGTGATTAAAAAACAACAAAGAAATAATTTCCTTTTCAAGAGAAAAAGAAATTTCAAACGATAATTTCTTTTGTAAGAAGAAGAAAGGATGAAAGATCTCCCTCTCCAAAGGTTCTAGAGGGCCACAGACCACAGCCTAGCAATCTTGGAGAACGAGAGCGGTTGTAAAGACAGTAAAATATAAGAAAAAAATAGCAGTATAGTTTGCACTCTATATTTCGTATGTGCTTCTAAAAGAGGGACATTATAGGGTGCAAAGTGTAGAGAAAGTTGCATACCTCTATGCTACTGTATGTACTATGACTAAAATTTATGTACATGTGGCCATTAGAAAATCTATACCCGATTTAACGCAAACATTTGATAAAATGGCTGATTCCACGAGCTCGGAAAATGAGAATAGTTAATGCAAAGTACACTGATTTAAGCATTTATTAGAATATGGAAAATTATTTTTGCCTTAGTAGACCACACCAGATTATGAATATGCAAAGAAAGTTGTATAAAATATATAAAAAGTAAAAATTGTTTTAGGGTATTTTCAATTTATCTTCGGAATCCAGGAAGTGGAACTGACCACGTGGAGTTAACATTCTTTTGAATAGTGCACATCTGAAGCAAGGGATCTGTCACCTTAAACTAGCAGAAACAAGAGTTATATAAAATGTTTAATAAAATGCAGTCAATAATTCCCTAAATACAAAGTGAGAATTTCCAAGAGTAAAGCCAATGTCCCGAACAAATATCGAAGCAATAAATGTTGTTTACAAACGTTCATTGTCTTAAGGTATAATCTACAATCGTGGAAAAAAATTAGCCATGTAATATGTTGTTGACAAATAACCTTTGCAATGTACAATAACGGACAAAAGTTGAACACACAATATAGGTACGATGTACAATAACGGACAAAAGTTGAACATACAATATAGGTACGATGTACAATAACGGACAAAAGTAGAACATCCGTAATAATGTATTCTCTAAAACCCAAATTATAGACATCAATCATAAACCTAAATAAGGGAATTAGTAGTCATTTTATGAATGGCTGGATAGCCCAGAAACCCAGTGAGGAAATCCTAAAACATTACTTTTCTTTAAAAATCAAATTAGCATCAATTAGTTAACTGTTTGAACCGTAACTTTTGTCATCTGTAGAGGAATGAAAAAGAAACTTACTTATCTGATGTGGAACGGCGATGTTTTTCTTGAAGATTCAATAGATTAAAAAGAGTTATAGCCCTTGTTTTATTCTCCACGCCCACCCCGACTACCCGGAACCTTTTTCTTACGTACCGCTTTGAATGGGGGTTGGTACAAAAATGCAGCTTTATAATTTAGCTGCAAATAAATTTTCACAAGTGAAACAAATTGTAATAGGAGTTTTAAAATAATAAAAAACTACTTCACACATTAGTAAGGCTACCATTTTTTTAGTAATTTAAAAAACAAAGGCACAGAAAGCGAGGGTTTTCACTTTTTCCAAAACGTATATTATTGCTTACTTTGAATATATTTATTTGTTTTTTTTATCTGTTTTGACACGCTGTTTAATTTTTATTTTCGGTTTACGTTTTCTTTTTATGTTTTCTTTTTACCCCGCTAATATCATGATATTATGAATATATATATATATATATATCGTTTTGCTTTTGTATTTGAAAAAAAGACGTTTTGATTTAGATCAATGAATACTTTCTCTCTTACGTCCTTACTTACTTGCTTCTATTTAACAAATCTTTTATATGATCAACAAGCTACTGTCAAAAATTATATAGGGTAAGCACCAATAGCTTGGCTACTGCATTACACCATCAACACAGTGGCACCTTCAAGATTATCTGACCAAGAGCAGACTACATAATAATATGATGCAGCACTTCAAATCAAACGACCAAATATCTTCAGATTAACACAATTATTGGCATCAGACTCAAAGTGGACAGGCACAAAGCAATGAACAATATACCAACAAGAACCAACATCAATAATGCAAAGAACACCACCCACAACAAAGCAACAACAAACATCAAACCGAATCAAAACAACAATATATCTGAACATGGATACAAAGCTGTACTTAAGCTGACTGACACACATATCCACATCAGAACAGCAAGCTGACCTGCAAAAGTCGCATACAACCGGACGACTAAACTTAGAAACAAATTTGGCACGGAATCATCAGCTGTGTTGCTAGTGCTCAAGGAACTAACATCAACAACAGTAAAGATTGGGCCCCGAAAAAAGAACAATAAAAGTCCACAAATACATTAACAAATCGCGATTCTGCAACAGATGTCAAAGATGAGGGCACTTCACAGCAGCACGCAGATATCATTAATGGTGCCACCAATGCGGAGGGCAGCACTTAGGGCAATGCAAAGCACATACCAACAAATGTGCTAACCACACTCCCCATACTCAACAGAATGTCCATACACCGCGAGGAAGTAAACGATTATAAAACTAATGGAAGAAAACACCTCAATTACAATCAGGCAAAACACGATCATGACAATGTAAACATTATTTCACCAATGGCAACAACAACAACGATCACAAACACAATCACAGCAACAACAACAACCCCGACACCATACCTGCATCTACTACTCTAACTCAAACAAGATCGAACGACAAAGGAAGGAAACCAAAAGGTCGACAAACTTCCATCAAAAGACTCACCCTATTACCTGCACCACCAAGAAGAACCAATATCGCCAACCACCAGCTTAAAACTCAACCAGTCTACCAAATTTTCCAACAACTCCACAACCCTCAAATCAGGAAAAAGAAAAACAACAACCAGGAGGCTACCTCACAACACTACCCCACGCAACACACAGCAGCTACACAAGACAACAACATCAATACGTCGCATAACATCACCACAGCACTCAACCAAATACCTAAAGGAAATCCGAAAAGAAATAGAATATGAAACACAACACAATAAAGTCAACAGAGAAAATATATACCAGTCGCTATACGTACTGATAGATAAAATCACATCCATCACCTATTAACATTGTTGTGCAAGCAACCACCTAACCTACCGCTCCGGTGGTCTAGTGGTTAGAACATCTGCCTCGGATGCGGGATGTCGCGGGTTCGAACCACGATTTAGTCATACCAACGACTTTAAATAATGGTACTAATAGCTGCTTCGCTTGGAGTTTAGCATTAAGATGTTAGTGTTAGGACTGGTTGGCCTGGTGTCAGGATAATGTGACTGGGTGCTAGAAACTGTCACACTGTAGACATCGTAGCGATATGCCTGAAAAATTGTTAAAGCTACTTTAAAACTCTAAATCAATTACACACACACACACACACACACACACACAAACACACACCACCTAACCCATAAACACAAACGACATCTTTATGGAAGACAACCGAAACAGAGCAAGCAATACAAATCGCCACAATATCATAACACAACTCACTATATGGCAATGGAATTGTAGAGGGCTATATACAAACCAGGGGAGAGGGAATTACAACCAGCAATTATCACAGCAATGGCATAATCAGACATTATCTGCCTACAAGAGACTCACTTATCAAACAACAAAAAAACACCAAAACTAAAAGACTACAACCTTAATTTCCACAAATGCAGGACCAGCGGGAAAAGGAGGAGGACTGGGGCTATATGTGTAAACAACACCATCACCAATACTACAGACATCAACACTACCACGAGCTCCTCAGAAAATAGCATTGAGAAGCAAGGCATTATCATAACATTTGGAGCCAAAATATTAACGATTTACTACATCTACGACACAATTCATACTAACTCAAGCACCTTTCAGAACTATACCCATATCATATTAATAAATCCATCAAAAGAATCATCTGTTTAGACTTTAACACACACACACGCACACACACACACACACAATCTGGAATGGGGCAGTGACTACACCAACACCAGAAGCAAATACATCGAAAAAATTTTCAGGGACAACCAACTTTTAACCCTTAACACTAGGACACCCACAAGGTTAGACTCCACAACTGGAAACCTCTCCAATATAGATCTCACAATAGCAACAACAACCATGCACAAATCACAGACTGGAAAGTACTACAACACAACACACTAGGAAGTGACCATTTCCAAATATGCATCACTGGCTACATAAATAACCTAAAGGAGCAACCAGGAAACTTTCCAAGATGAAGAACGAAAAAAGCAGACTGGAACTATTACAAGCCATCTTAAGGAGAAAACACATAGAAGACCTAGACAACATGGACACCAACCAGTTCTACAACATCGTCCAGGCAATCAATGAAGCAGCACAAGAAAGCATTCCAGAATCAAGTATCAAGACTAAGAAACCAAATATACCATGGTGGAATAAAGACTGCAAATCGTCTCTAATTGAAAAGAAAAAAGCCCTACATCGATTTAAACACACTAAGCTATCCACAGACTTTATGGCTTACAAACGTACCGAAGCCAAATCTCGCAGAACCATCAAGAAGGCTAACAAAGCATCATGGCAGTCATACTGCTCCATTCTCACACACTCCACTAATACTAAGGAAGTCTGGGCAAAAATTAAAGCAATAAAAGACATTGCCCCTAATACAACATCCCCAACAGCAGGAACTCAAACCAACCAAGAGAAAGCCAAACAACTAGCCAAGGAATTCGCCTATTCCAGCAGTAGTAACAACCACACACCTACGTTAACAATTCAACGAGAAAATCTGGAACAGGAATACCCACACCGCTTCAAGGATCAAGTCGCGGAACAAGAACATAATAACTTGCCACTAAACAATTCTTTTCAACTACAAGAATGGACCAGAGCGCTGTGCAACAAAATAATCTACCTCACCAGGGGAGGACAAACTAGGCTATGTAATATACAAGCAACTACCAATCAACATGCAGCTAATAGTTATCAAACTAATCAACCTTATCTGGAGCACGGGACAAATTGTTACAGCCTGGAAACAAGCAATTGTCATCGCTATTCCAAAGCTAGGAATGGGCCCCCAAATGACTTCTTCATATCACACAATCTTTCTAACAAATATCATTTGCAAAATCATGGAAACGATGATCAACAACAGACTCCGAAACCACTTGGAAAAACCCAACCTACTCTCGGAAAATCAAAGCGGATGTAGAAATAAACGCTCCACCTTGGACCAACTTGTGTGCATAGAAGCCAACATATAAGTAGCCTTCAATGCAAAGCAAAAAACAATAGCCATATTTTTTGACCTCGAAAAGGCCTTAAACCTAGTCTTTACTAAAGGTCTCATAGCCAAAACTCAACCAATATTTGATAACTAGATGGATGCACCGATGGATTTCAAACTTTCCTACATAAAAACAAATCAAAACCTGTGTTGAATATGCTTACTCGGCGACATACACACTGGATAATGGAACCACACAAGGTAGTGTTATAAGCCCTACACTCTTCAGCATTATCGTTAACAACCTGAAGGGGTAAGTTCATAATACAGTACACCTTTCCCAATTCGCCGACGACTGTGACATGTGGAAAGCAGGGAACCCTAACAACCACCAACTCATCGTAGAGCTGCAGCAAAACATAGACGCTGTCACGAGATGTGCGGACAACAGGGGATTTAAGATTTCAGGTACCAAAACCGTGGAAATGCACTTCTCACCCCATAATTGATGCAAACTAAAGTATCATACACTATATACCCAAGGAACATAATACAATTCGTAAAACAAATATAGTTCCTGGGCATGCTACTAGACGAAAACCTGAACTGGAAGCCACACATCAACGAACTAATCAAAAGAACACAAGAGGACATCAACCTAATAAAACATCTTAAGAGAACCACACGGTGAGCCGACCAAACCACACTTCTAATGTTATACAGATCACACATAAGATCTAAATAGGACTAAAGGTGTCAAATATATGTATGAGCCAACGAGATGCTACTCCAAAAACTAGATGAACTACAATACAGAATGCTAAGACTATGCACTGGAACACTACCAAAAACATCGTTACAAGAATTACAGGTCCTAACTACCATTGCAATTAAGACGGGTAGAACATATCCTCCCACTATCAATAAGGGAATCTACACATCAGGACACAAATCCAACAAAATAAACAATTCAACAATTCAGATAACCATTTAGCCACAACCATGTCCAGAAACACCCTGCGGCCAGCAGAGTTGACACACTCTATGAAGAAATAAAACTAGAGTACTTTCAAGCCGAACAACGCTTAATCAAGGATCCCACACCGTGGAGGAATAACGCCCCAGAAATCAACCTCATTGCACAAACATTTGGAAAGAAATCACAAAACCCATGGAAAATACTAGTGGAAATCCAAAATGTACTCCGGGAAATGTATTTAGATTATACCAAAATATATACAGATGAATCCAAAACCAAGAACTTAGTAGAACAATATCAACAATGGTGATACCCGAACAATAAAAACCCAAATAGGTGAAGACTTCCAAACGACTGTTTCATCAAGTCAGCTGAATTTTGGGCAATCAACCAATCATTGAAGTGTATTCAAACCCAAACCAACCTCAGACATGACATCATCACAGACTCACTAAGCGTCCTGAAATATATTGAAACGGGATCAACCAAAATCGGAGAAAACATGCTAGAAGAAAAAATCCTACTGCTGAAAGAACTAGTGAAAACAACACTCCATTGAATTTTTATGGGTCCCATCGCACATCAACCTGATCAGAAACGAAAAAGTAGACCTAACAGCGTAAAGAAACCTCATCAACAAGGACATATACCCACTCGCCTACAGCATTCAATTACGATACAGCCAATTAAAACAACGCATTAATCAGGAATGGCAACAAATATGGAACACCTCCAATAAAGGAAGACACCTATTCCAACTACAAAAAAAAATCACCATGAAAATCAATTAATGTCCTGAAGGATATGAAAGTATAAGACGTAAGAACCTTCAACCGCCTTTTGACAGGAAAAACCTTACTAAAAGATGGTTTTTGGAAAATACCTAAGGGACCAACGAAACCACAAGAACTGCCCGTACTGCCTAATCCCGGAAACACTGGACCACATCTTCAGTACATGCCCCAGATATCAAACTCAACGCAGCAACCTCAGGGAATACTTAAAGAGGATAGGATCACCTACAATGTACCCGGGGCTACTGGACAGAAAACATGATGTCAACATAGAAGCCACCTGTAAAAGCATAATATCATTCCTAAAACGAATCAACGAGTACGGGAAAATATAAGCACAGCAGCGAGGAAATACAACCATATATAAAAAAACATGCACTTCAAGTGTTGGTATAAAGCAATTTGATATACCAATACTAGTGTTATATCAAATTGTGATCCGACCATGGCGCAATAATACGCATATATCAACATTCTTGCGAGCGTCTGCAGTTGATTTGATTCGAGATCAATGATCACTTTCCACAAATTAGTCACTAGTGACGTATGAAAAATAACGCTGAAAATAATTAATAATCCCCGTTTTCTAAATTAATTTAATATGGTACACATTTTGATCACAATCCATTCTGCTTTCTGTTCTCACGTCCCCTCTCAAGCGTAATGGACAAATTGCGCAGAAATGTGGAATGAGAGACAAAACGATTTTTGGGCTGGATTAAAACCTTGAAATAGAAATTACACCAAGTAACCTACGAGAATAGGGTTAATCTTAAGAATACGTATGCACTTTCCTTGGGATTTATCAACACTGTTTATCAATCATAAAATGTTGCAAACAAATAAATTCTTTGGCTACGTGGTACACATAATGTGATATATTTTATGTTATGCTTCGTTTTTGCAATTTTTTTTCTTTCTTATACATACCATGCTGTTAAAAAAATTGATTATTATTGTTTAAATATGAAAATGTCCAAAGCTCTCTCGATCTTTACATCTTGTAGCTTCTACACTCGGGAATTTGAGTTCGTTCACTAGGTCAATAGTAAATGTGATGATCTCCATTCAAAGGTCATATATATATATATATATATATATATATATATATATATATATATATATATATATATATATCTATATATATATATATATATGGGGTGGGTGGGGGTGTGTGTGAGTGTGTGA